TTCTCTTAGCACCAGCTACAAGTTGATCTTCTACAACATCTTTTCAATTGACAGTGTAGACAATTGGATTTTCTTATGAACTTTTTCCTCTCAGAAGTGTTTCTTAAGTTGACTGATACATTTCTAATGGTAAGTCTGGAGATTTTTGTTGTTTCCTTACACTCTTTTACTTTCAAGAGGTAATTTCTAGTCAGAATTGATTTTATGTATGAAAGTTTGTAGTGAGATTTAGATCGAGATGGAAAACATCAAAATCATAATAAATTTAACCTTACATTTAATGACAATCCTTTTTGCATATATTTATTGGAGAGCTTTTAATTTTCTTCTTAAGAAACTTAGACTTAATCACTGCTGAAATCAAAGTGGTATTTTGGTTTAAATATTACATATTACTGAGTACCTAGGTTTTTTTTGAGTAAAATAAGAGTTTTGATATTTCAACATCAATAATTAATCAACATACATGTATTACCAAACAGTGGAATGCTTTTTGACGAGTAAAATCCGATCAATTGATAAATGGAATTCATTCTCTATATATTCACACAGTATAAGCCTTATAAAATGCAGGTATTTTCAATCTTAAATTGAGCATCTCAGATTAAATGGGACTATCAAATTTAAAAGATCTCATATTGAAGGATAACTCCTCTATTTTAGTTTATGCTCATTGTGGCTTTCATTAATACTAATGTTCAACCTCTAGTTCTGATAGTTGCCTATTATAATTAGAGAGTAAAATGATATAAATTAAATTCAGGAATTAAATTAGGGACTGATCATTGATTAAGCAACAGAAATTGATGATCCGTATGTAATATTTTAATGGATACTGCAATGATAGTGCAATGAGCAATTCAGTTATTCTGTAATAACCAAGGTGTTAAGAGAAACACCACAAAGTTATCTTCTAACATACAAATACCATTAATTTATAGATTTGATCAGTGGCAGCATATGAATAAAAGCTTTGAATTTAAGATGCAGATAGTAAAAGATTTTAGCCTGGACAAGCTAAGGTTTGAAAACCGTTATGGAATCTAACACAAATTGATGGGTGGGGGGTGGGGTTTGCCAGTAATATTGCCATTGCAAACAGGCTGCTAAATCAAAGCTAGGCTATATATGTGGACAGAATCTGATTTAAATGGTCCAAAAGGCGGGTTGGTTTCATGGTTTAAAGGATTGATGTTGACAAATGACAGATAGGTTTTTTGATTGAATCTTCAGAAGTGAACTCACTCAGAAATGATTGTTGTAACAAAAATTGACAGATTCAAACATGGTGAAAGTTTGATGAAAAAAAACACACATTGAAATATACATTCGTAATTTTGGCATTGAAAAAATATCCTAGTATTAGACAATATTATTGATAAGGGCTCATCTTATGCTGTTGTCATGTATTTCAAATACAAGGTATAAACTTTCAAAAATTTCAGACTGAACACTCATGTGATATAGAATATCAAAATACTGGTTTAAATAGTGTGAGAATAACCATTAGTATCTATTGATTTCGTTAAGGTAATTAATGATTATTGTGACAGTTATAGAATACTAACATGATAATTGATATATCACTTTATAATATCAAAATACCGTTCTCACACACTGTTCTTTTACTGTTTGATTGAATGACATTCTTTCTCAAATCGCTGTAATTTTTCTGACAACTGCTTTTTTGCCACAGCCTGAGTTATTGGTTGTTTTAAATGCTTATTATTGAAAGAAAAAAGTAACAACCAATTTTCACAAGGATATCAAGAATCTTAGGGATCTGTCTACCATTTGGCATCGATATTTCCTGGAATTTTTGTACCAATTTACATTTAGGTTGACTAAAATAATGAAGAAAGATGACTTTTCCAAAGTCAATTAAGTTAAATTTACTATTACACACCGCTTTGTACCCATGACCACCATTTGTTTGATTTAACCAAACTTATGTTGTTGAGATTCAGCTCTGACTGGTTAAGCTACAGTTTGTCCTCAGAACTGTTGTTTGCCTCCATCTAGTTCTAGTGATGTAGGTGAGGACAGCCCACATAGGAAGGTGTCAAGTCAATTTGATGAAAGTTAAATGCAACAGACATCACAGCAGGACATGTTGGGACTCCAATCAAACTTTGACTTTGACAAGATTGGTAAATACACCTAAGTCAATATCAGTGATGTAAAACTCATTTCATTTCTTCAAGTAAACAAATCATAAGAGTACATGATTTACATATTGATCAAAAGGAAGATGAAACATGATGAAAGTGTATATGGAGTAGTGTTTGATGAACAATAGGTAAAGTGACATCAGCATGTTAAATTATGAAATACAGTAATTAATGCCAACCTGCTTTACTGTATAATCTTACTAATGATTCTGACATTTCACTCTCTTATATTACACTGTATTTTTTCATCTTTGTACATCATTACAGGATTAAAAATTTACTTGCAAATACCTTAGTAGGCCTACTGCTTTATGGGGCATAGATATGACTTGAAATGAACTTTTACATCTGAATATTTTTGATAAAGATCAGTCTGCAGTGAAAAATGAAGAAAAGTGTGCGAGATTATTATCCCCTCCCAACCAAATGCCCTTTTCAATTATTTTGATATAATTACAATAAGATGTAACAAATGTGTACTTTATAACTGTGTTTGTAATCTTTTTTAAATTGTAAAACATCTTGATTTGTCTTGTCTTGTAAGGACTGAACAGATTGATTGATTATTTAGAAAAATAATTCTTTAGTCTGATGATAAGTAAACTATTTGAGGTAATGCCAACCTAATCATAGCTCAAGGTTTTACAGCATGGTTCCAGTGTTCTGACAGAATCTATAATGAAGATTAGTTACTAAGTTTCCTTTCCATTTCTGAAAAATTCAAAATTTCATTTCAAAAATTTGTATCGGTTTATATTATCAATGGACTTAGTTAATAAAGGTGAATTTTAACTACTTTTATCACTTTTTTAGTATCAACATTGTCTATGGTAAATATATGATATGAAACATAATTATATTTGTGTCCCCTCTTGCTCTCCAAATAATACTAACACCAATTGGAGAATTACGTCATTTTTAAATATTAAACTATAACTATTAAAATATAAAACTACTTATTAAACAACTATAATTACAAGTAACAATTAAATTTAAAAACCCACTATCAACCAGTGATAGGGCTTAACCCCAAAATTTTAACAAAAAACCGCCTATAAAAAAACAAAAAATTAAACTTTATGAAAAATCAAACACTATACCAATAAAGAAAAAGGAGGAGAATGGGGAGGAGGATGGGAAACCAAAATAAACAATTGATGAAAAAAAAGCATCAAAAAACATGTGTGATTTGCTGTGCCCCTTCTCTGGAACGAATGAACTCACTTGACTAATCACGTGATCAATCAGACCACAAAATGTATTATTTACAATGATACTAATGTCTCCTTCGAAAGATTCAAATATCCATGATTCATAATGAATTATGTTGGACGCCAATGAAATGGGTGGTCAGCAAATGTGGTTTTTAGAAACCACACATCCAATTAAGTTTTTAAAGTTTATTATTACGTACAATAAAAACCCTGAAATATTCAAAGAAGAATATTACACAGTGACAAAATAATACAAAATATCTATTTACAAACAATATCAGTAAATATATGAAAATAACCCTGACATAGAAATACATTACTGAAAGAATAATCAGTGCTGTAGATTTTAAGTTATATAAGTCAAATCAGAAGAAACATTATAATCCTATTATAATACCTTACAGGGGGTATTATTGATGCAATTGTTTGGAGGCTTATTATCTTATGGAAGTAAAATCTTTATTTTCGTACTCTAGGAGACAAATATTTCATTAACCATGAATTGAGATAAATTTATTTATATATAAAAATCCTGATTTACTTGTTTCCATGGTGACTGATATTTGCTGGAAATGAATATTGGAAGTCATGTTTCAACCAACTCGGCAAGATAAATTGTTATTCTATCTCAATAATATCATATTCATTTGCTTTTATCTAAACTGATTTTGAAATAGATGGGAGTGATTAGTCTTACTGCTTGCTGCGTGATGGATTGGTTGGCGAGGGAAAAGATAGGTTGATGTCTGTTGGCCTTAAACCAATTTGTTAATTATAAACTAATTCCTTATTTGGGTGATATATTTTGTGAGTACTTGTTTTTGTTTTATTTTAGTTTATTACACTCTTTAATGGTTCTGTGTTGCCTCTAACCTCTAAAATCTACTTGATATTAGTAAGTAATTGTGATCAACTGACAATTCATACTTTACATCTACATATTTCAACGTCTTCATGAGCTCAATTAGGTGCTGAAAAGTAGGATGTAAAACTCCATTCATCTAATTTCATTTCATCTCAAATTTGGTGAAAAATAATTCTGCTTGTCCTTTTTTCAGTTTGAATAAGTCATGTTTCTTGATCTTGTTGGGTGTGGTGTACCAGGGATAAAGTGGTTACTCTTTCCTCAAGCATCTGACTGTCATTCATTTCCATAATTAATGATTCAGAATGACTATTACATTTCTATATGCTATACTGTCAATTTGTCTACTTGATTTGTACATGTTGGTTTCTACTGGCTCTAAGAGCTGAACATCAAAAAAAAAGATATCTTTAATTTTTAAAAAAAAAAAGAAATTGCAAAGTTTGACCAACTATTACACCAAAATAAATATAATCATATAATATACAACCCAAATAGCCATACACACAGGCTTAAAAGGTTTTAATTAGTTGGTCAAAATGCAAATGATTAAGACATTGTGGTAAGTTATGATTATTTTATATTTTTCAGATGTGTAGATATTATGAAGAAATGATAGTAAAGTGATGGTTTTCATTCATGCCACAAACTCCAAGTTTTCTCCAATTTCTATTCAAAATGGTAGGTCAAAGTGGTGGGGGTAAGAAAGCCTCCCGGACCTCCAATAGAATTAATATACCCCTAGATACTATGAAACATGCCAATCGAATTGATCCAAAAGAGAGACTCTTTTTGGATGCTGCAGAGAAGGGAGATAAACATACTATGATGAGGCTGCTACAGGGAAGTACGCCTGTGAATGTGAACTGCACCAATATGTTGGGACGTTCAGCTATTCAAATTGCCGTGGACAATGAAAATACTGAAATAGTGGAACTTCTATTGAAAGAAGATGGAGTTAAGATCGGTGATGCCTTGTTGTATGCTATTCGCGAGGGTGTCTTCCGAATTGTTGAAATGATAATCGAGCATCCAACTATACAACGAGATAGATTGGGAACAGAATGGTGTCGAACTCGGCACATGGATGAAGAGAGTTTTGACTATTCTCCTGACATATCACCAGTTATTTTAGCAGCCCATTGTAACCAGTTTGAAATTCTACAGCTACTTCTTCTTCATGGAGCAAACATCGACAGACCACATCAACTCTCATGTTCTTGTAAGCGTTGTCAAGCACAAGTACATGCAGACAGTTTACGCCATTCTCTTCTGCGTATTAATACATATCGTGCATTAGCTAGTCCAGCATGGATCTCTCTAACTAGCCCTGATCCAGTTTTAACAGCCTTCAAATTATCATGGGAGCTAGAAAAATTGGCGTTACGTGAAAATGAATTTAAAGATTCGTACATTGAGTTGAGTCATCAAGTGAAGAAGTATGCGTGTGATTTATTAGGACAGTGTCGTAGCAGTGAAGAGGTTATAGCCGTTTTAAACAAAACCAGTGATTGTGATGGTGATTCTGATGATGAAGATATTGACATTGAAAAGTTGACTCTTTCCAGATTAAAATTAGCCTTAAAATATGAGCAGAAACAGGTGAGTAATATATTCTTTAGCACGGTCATGCTTTTAAAGGTATGTAAAGAGGTCATCTAAACTTTTTATGTGTACTGGTGTCACTGATAGGACAGACATGCACCATTCAAATTTTCAGTCAAAAGTTTGTGGTTTTTGTAATTGAACTAAACCTAAGCATCTATGTTGTCAATATCGCAAAATTCCATAGATAATATCAGCCCTTTTTATGAATTGTAGGAACCACCAACGGTTGACTTAAAATTGGAATGGTGCAAATCAATGCTATCAGAGTCTCCAATACACATAAAAAGTTAAGAAAAACTCTTTGCAATTCACAATAGGTCATTCATTAATAAGAGTCTCATTTTGAGATCTTGATACAAATGTGTCCGTTCTTGAAAATCCAACATGGATGCTGTTGATCATGAAATTTCAGTGCCAATACTTCTGCTGAATATACTATTCATGCTTACTTAACGTAAGTATGATTTAGAATGTGATAATTGAAGCTTGTATAGCAGATACCAATAACATCCCTACAGATTCTGTATTATTGACAGTAGACTAATTCTAGACAATGGACATAATGTTATTTTATTGGGATTCTCAGTTAGATTTACGGAAATAGACATGATTATAACAGATACCGGTAACTTATTAACTGTATGATAGTCTCTAGTTAGACATACATGATACTTTATCAGTGAATACAATTATAAATAGAATATATAAATAAAGCAGAACTGAGAAAAATAAACCATTAATTAATGATAGCCTTTCCTTTTCAGTAGTATCATTGATTTAGCTACTTTTTTATATGTTAAAAGGGATGATCTTATTATTTTGTTTGGCCTACCAGCTGCTTGAGCTCAATTTCAGCTTTCGATAGCAATTTTCAGAATCAAACTTCCCCATATAGGTCAACTACAATTTAACCAGACTTAAGACTTGTGTTACTTTCCAAAGTATTATTAATATTCTGAGGTGCAGGTTTTACCATCAGAGTTATAATATCATTAATAGAAATATATGAGTAATATATTGACATAAGAAGGTTAGCAATGTTCTTGGAATTGTAGGAGAACAAAACTTCAGATTAAAATTGTAAAATTTTATACTGATAACTGAATTGAACCCCCATCAGCTTGTGAAAAATTAACTAAAATAAACACTTTCTTAAGAATGGAGCATTGATTATTGGCTCAGCTTTACTATTGTAACTGTAAGAAGTAAGAATTACCATATTTATCACTAACAATGAGTAACAATAACATTTTTTGTCCTATTGTAATGGTATATCCTAAAACTAAGAGTAAAACAAATGATAAAAACTGAAGCTATTTCCCAATAACACTTTGTTTTAGACTTCATGAATTTAGATTAAAAATATGTAAATATTAAAGATTAAGACGCTGTATTGTTGTATTTAGAATGTAGTATATATGAACATACTAAAAAACAAAAGAAATAGCAGCTGGTTACGCTTAAAACTTTCAGCTCATCTTTGATTAAAATTTCTAAGAAAATTGTTTTTTTAATCAGTGCCGAATGTATCAAAACCACTCATACAATGTTGTTATATAACAGTAAAACAGAGTTGTTATGTTGTGATATAGCACTGATACAATGTTATTTATACTCTTTTATTCAAAAATGAAGATTACATATCAAATATAAATACATGACTAGAACCGAACGCCCTGCAATTAAATAGAACTATTAACGGAAAATACCAGTAGTAAAAAAAGAATTCTAAACGAATAATTATGAATAAAATAGGAAGAAAAAAATCAGAGGTGACAGATGAATGCAATGATCCATTTAATTATGACAGGAAGTTTAGCTTAATTCATGTTAATTCACATCCTTAAACATGTGTTTTAATACTAATTTTCTGAATTTGATAAGTTCTGAATTAGTACGGATTGTGGGTGTAACTTTAAGCCCTACCAGGAAGTTTGTGCTGGAACGATAACGCAATTCATTATACAATTCATATGAGATGATATATATACTGCTTAAGAATGACATCTTTTTCAATTGAAAATTGTCACATAGAAGAATACAATAAACTACATTTATCACATAAAAGTTTCATTGCTTACAATACAGCATAACTTGATAAATAATAAAACTTAAATATACTAATACAATGTTGTTGTGATATAACACTAATTCAATGTTGATGTTATATAACACTAATACAATGTTGTTTTGATATAACACCAATACAATGTTGTTGTGATATAACACTAATACAATGTTGTTGTTATATAACACTAATGCAATGTTGTTGTGATATAACACTAATACAATGTCGTTGTGATATAACACTAATACAATGTTGATGTTATATAACACTAATACAATGTTGTTGTGATATAACACTAATACAATGTTGTGATATAACACAAATACAATGTTGTTTTGATACAACACTAACACAATGTTGTCGTGATACTAAACTAATACAATGTTGTGATATAACACATATACAATGTTGTTGTGACACAACACTAACACAATGTTGTCGTGATATTACACTAATACAATGTTGTTGTGATATAACACATATACAATGTTGGTGTGATATAACATTAATACAATGTTGTTGTTACATAACACTAATACAATGTTGTGATATAACACAAATACAATGTTGTGATATAACACAAATACAATGTTGTTGTTACACATCACTATTACAATGTCATTGTGATGTTAAAGGAATACAATGTTGATGTTATATAACACTGATACAATGTTGTTGTGATATAACACTAAAACAATGTTGTTGTGATATAAAACTAATACAATGTTGTGATATGATACAAATTCAATGTTGTCGTTATACATCACTATTACAATGTTATTGTGATGTTAAAGGAATACAATGTTGATGTTATATCACACTAATAATACTAATCCAATGTTGTTGTGATATAACACATACAGCGTTGTGCTATAAAATTAGTAGATGTTGTGAAACACTTGTGTAATGTTTTTGTGATAGAACAACTAATATAATGTTGTTGTGATACAATGCCAATACAATTCTGCTGTTATATAACACCAATACCATGCCAATGTGATAAAACACCAATACAATGTTATATAGCACTAATACAATGTTCTTGCAATATAACACTAATACAATGTTGTGATATAACACTGATACAAATATTGTTGTTATAAAACAGTATGTTACAATATAATACTAAACTTGATGCCCTTCAGTGAGCAGAATATTAATCAGTATCATTATTACTACTACCTGTAAATATTTAATAATTAATATACCTAACCCTAACCTTTCTGATTCACCAATCTCTGGAGATATTATATAAAAACTGTGATAATTGAAATGACAAATTGAAAGTAGAATGGTTATTGAGTACAACAGATTAGTTTGTCTGTTGTGAATATATAGAAGTCATGAAAAACTAGGTAACAGACTTAAAGTATGAAATTTATAGCTCAGTTAAAGAGGTTTCCAACAAAATGAATGCATTTAGAGCTTTTATGATCACTCTTGCAATTAATTTTATAAAATCTATCGCGATCTATAAAATGTATGTATTGGGTAGACTTAAATGTCATTTTAGGTTCATTTGATTAACTATATTTGATTTATTTATGACATCTCTCAAAAATAATCATCAGAGGCCTGATAAAAGTAAATTATAGAAAACTAAACTATTGGTCCTGGTGCACTACAATTACATTACATATGCCACTGCTTGAAAAACTATGGATGGAGTGTCTACAGCCCCCAGTCCTTCCTTCCTACTCCTGTGTAATGCATTGTACCATACCATTCTTCAAGTTGGAGTGACAACAACCAAACAGTTTTTTCGTTTGTTTAGTGTTAGGGTGTATTGAGACGAGTCTCAATGAAAGCACTGGCCTAGGTCACAGAGCAAGTAACAAAGAGGAGGCAGGAAAAGGGAGGTCGTGGGTAGTTTAAAAACTGCAAAACTACAACATGTATGTAACAGCCTTGGTGGGTTTCTTGAAGAATGACCCAAATGTTGTTTTATTAATAGTATGCAGAAAATAACCACAAATAATAATATTTATTTATGTTGTCTGACTGATTGATTTGGACGTGTAATTTAACGCCAGTCATCCTACTAGTCATTAGTAGTCGGCTGAATTTGACTTTTGTTTGACCGTTTGACATTGACTGCCATAACCTTTTCAACAAATTAAATAAATATCTCAGTAAAGACCACTCCACATGCTAGATTAAAAATATGAAATAAGGGTGAAATAGAATAAAAAATGAGCCAGATTTGCAGATGCCCATGAATAAGCAATACAATATAACAAGGTCAACGTGGCTTTTTAGAGAAGATCACTGACTCTAAATACATTGAACATCTATCACAATGACACTGGTTTGACAGTTAATAGAAAACACAACTCTCTAAATTCAATTTCAAATTTTTATTTAAAGGAAATGTCAAATTCATTCTATTTTTTTAACAGAATGTTAGGTTGCCAGATTATCTAATAAATGTTTGGTTTAAAAAAAAAAACAGAGGCACATTAATTTTGAGCAATTTTTTTAATTTTGACTAACAGCTTAACCTATTAAAAAATTTATTTCATCTTACAACTTTTTAAAATACCCTGTTCTTTGTTAAATATATATATTTGTCATCGATATATACACCAAATGAACAATGTTAAATATATATATTTGTCATCGATATATACACCAAATGAACAATGTTAAATATATATATTTGTCATCGATATATACACCAAATGAACGATGTTAGCCATGTGGAGACCCTGGTGATGAGGGAATGCTAAAATGAAAATTGATAGGGACAGATGCGGCCTTCAGAACAACTAAAACTGTATGAAAATCGCATCCTTCAAATATTAGTTGAGCCGAACTATTTATGTTTTTTAGACCAAGGTGTGATTTACTCCCGGAAATGCTGCAACTGTCTCTTCAAACTGAGTTTTTGAAAAATTTCTTGTTACCGTAACTTGTTTTTAGAGTTTAACTGTCATTTGTTAAGCTTTATGTTCAGTTGATGATGAATGGTATGGATGTTAATTTATCATACCGGTATTAAAAGGTCAAGAATGGTTTTGATATTGTGGATCAATGTCTTTATAGTTCTCCACAATTAGTCATCAATACTTCATATGAATTCTGAAAGGGAAAAGCTAAGATGAAGCTGTTTTAGTATTGAATTGCAATGTGATTTGTTTGGTGTTAAGGATAACCATGTGGTTGATTGATATCATAATCCACAACTTAAGACATTAGGATCAACCATCACTCCTTTTTACTAGTATCACTTACATAACAATAAAGATATAATATGATATTAGTTTCTCTAAATAATGACAGGTTGTGAAACCAGATTAATTTTACAATATTGACATCATTATTGATCAATATTGATACCCTCTATCTTTAACTTGATGTCAATATTGTAAAATTAATCTGGTTTCACATTTTTTACATGTAAGATGATGTCTCCTTTAGAACTGATTTTAATTGGCACTTTATACAAGAGGCATCACTTTGAGCCTATCATTTCAATCTTCATGACAATATTCATGGCAGAAGTGAATTATTTTTTTATCTTTTAGTTGAAAATATCTTTCTTTTACAAATCATATTAAGGCATATAAGTCTTTTAGATGTCTCAAGAATGATGATTAGTAATTAGGAAGGATTTGATAATTGTGGTCAAGTTTAACATGGTCATGCTTAACAGATGTTCATTGTTGGGTTAAAGATGGGTTCCCTTATTTTCATTTATGAAAATGAAAATGCTTATACTTAAATGAATAGAAAGTAGAGGTGTTCCGATCAAGATAGGTCAAAAAGTCTTTTTGTGTTTATCCAGACTGTACATACATGGACATTTATGATTGGTTAAAACTCTTAATTATATGCAATAAGGACATAGAGAAATGAATAAGAATACATGCTAATTCATTAGATACACCAATTAATCAAATAGTTTGCTTAATTTGACACTAAAAAATAAGGAAGCACATCCTAAAGAGTGTGCAAAGAAGGGGAAGGGTGCAAAGAATGACTGTCATATTGGGGGCCATATGCCGCGCTCGTACTTAACTTATACTTAATTTTTGGATAGGCATAGATTTTCAAAGGCAGATCATAATACAATTGATCCTTTACAACTTATTATAGCTAAGCTGGTATGCATATGGGTTATTTCAGTAAAAGGGGTTGTAAAAAAGTTTTTACTTTCTCATTTTATTTTTCAGTTTGTCGCTCATGCTCACTGTCAACAACTATTAACATCAATTTGGTATGAGGGCCTACCAGGATGGAGAAAACGAAATGGATTCACCAAGTTTTTAATTTGTACAGGACTTATATTTTTACTACCCTTCATGTCTGTGTATTATTGGATGTTTCCTAGGAGTAAAATAGGACAGTTATTACGTAGTCCTTTCATGAAGTTTTTATACCACAGTGCATCATTTGGAGTATTTTTAATGTTACTGGTATTTGCCTCTACTGATATTAGTAATGCACCTAGTAGAGAGATGTTACGAGGACCACAACCTTCAGAATTAGAGTGGTTGATTGTTTTATGGGTCACAGGTTTGAGTGCAAATCATTTGTTCTTCAAAAGTAGCTGTTTTAATGCTGTTCAGGGCAGAAATAATGACAGTTTTACTGGTTTACGATTTTCTGGTCTTTATAGTGATTTGTTTATAAAGCAAAAGGGATGGGATATCAGTAGAAATTACAGGACTTTGATGCTAGATTTATTTTCTTTAAAGACCTTTTGATAACTTTAATGCCAATTTGTGACAATGTGATCTCTCCATCTTCTACTTGATGACATTGCATAGAGACTTTTATCACAGTGCTGCAAGTTAGAAAACAGGCACATGTACTTGATTTTTAAAAAACATTATGAAAAAATATAATGGTCATTTATTATTTGTAGGTTTTATCTGGGCAGAGTGTAAACAGCTATGGGAGGAAGGATTACGTGCTTATATCAGACAATGGTGGAATTGGTTAGACTTTATCATGTTGTCGTTATATCTGGCCACGTTTTCACTGCGTTTTGTAGCCTACATACAGATAGAATCAGGGAATTATGGTCCCCGTGAGGTCAGCAGAAAAGACTGGCCAATGAATGATCCAACATTGATTTCAGAAGGATTATTTGCCATTGCTAACATTTTCAGTTTTGCCAGAATCATATTTTTGTTCCAAGCCAACCAACATTTAGGACCATTACAGATATCTCTAGGATGTATGTTGATAGACATTGTGAAGTTTCTCTTTATATTTTTTCTTGTATTAACATCATTTGCCTGTGGATTAAACCAACTATATTATTTTTATAAACCAAGTCGAACTGGAGAACATGATGTTTTTTATACGTAAGTTGACATTTTGGGTTTTTATTTTTGAAGTGCTATGGCTCAGTTCTTGTTCAATAACTTTCGAAATTTTGAAATGGAAAGAGTGTACATGGGATTTACTTTCTGAGAAAATATCATGGCTTTTTTGGTCTTCTCAGTCCAATAAGGTATAGAAATATATGTCATTTCAATTCATCTGAAAAAAAAACGCTTTGAAACAAGCATGATATGTTATTGAACCTAAAAATAGATGCCTAAAGGATAAGTATTACATAATTTTGGACAGCTGATTTGTTAAGGTTTCCTTTTTATTATGTTAAATGCAGGTCTAAATTGTTATATTTCTATTTTTTATATTTGATGAAGATGCTGACAGCTATATTATGTTTTCCCATCCATTATATAAAACTATTATTATCCTTCTATGTTAGCAGCAAAAAGTTTCCCTTTTATATGAATTATATAATTACGAACAAAGATAGCTGGAGTCTCAGAGGAGAAAGGTAGCTGATATGAAAGAGACAGTGTTAGAACTGTTCACGATAAAATACTTAGCTTTATAGAGTAGAGTGATGTTTTCTTTCTCTTGAGGCTTACATAATAGAGTTAAATTATCAACATGGCTACATTGATCACACAGTTAACTTCATTCATATTCTCATTAGTACACTTGTGTGCATCTATAATCTAACAGAATTTAGTGCAGTCTATTTCAAATCAAGGTTACTTTGAACTTGAAATGTTTCCAGATTATAATGTGGACATATTCAATGACTCAATTTTGTTTTCAACTCTTGTATTACTATCAAGTAGGTTAAAATCAATGATCTTATCAAGGTCAATTCTATATGCCTGACAGAAAAACTAGAGGTGTCTCTGAGGCAATACCTGAAAGGCTAAAGCCTCTTGATGCCTTGGATCTGGGAGCTGACAGAGGCCCCCAGGCAGCCAACAAATTTCAGATTGCCTGAGATTTATAGGGCCTAATTATAATTTCAAAATGAGACAATTCACAGTCGAGAAAGGTGGGAGGCGAGGATATATAGACTAATGTATAATGACATGATTCTGATGATGTTTTATTCAATGGTATTTTCAAATGTTTTCCACATTAAACACTTTCTTTCAAATTAGAAACTTCTTGACTATGTCATCAAAGCTATATATTGATCTTATATATGCCCTTTTCTCAGTATTATGTTATCAAATAGCTTGATAAGGAATTTTGGTGATTTTTAGACAAGCCCGCTTAAAAACATTTCTCTTGCACACACTGCTTGGCATCATAAATCTTCAAATGAAATGGGAATCCAATTGACATCATTTATTTGCTTGATTCAGAATATAAATATGATGATATTTAATAAATGGTTCTTTCCTCTACATAAGTCAAATGTCAACTTCATTAGTGTTTATGATGATTTTAAAGATTTCAATCTTGAACCAAGTTGAATTATTTGCCAATATCCTGATTTCTGATCCAGACTAGAAAAAAGATTTAGATTTATCAAAGGACCAATAAATCAATCTGAAGCTCTGTAGGGAAATATATTCATGAATTTAAAATATATTTTACAAAACATATCGGAATTTTTGGTAGTTCCATCTTTTGAAAAGATTCTTTCTGAATTAAGTTATTTTTATCTTGAAAACATCACTTCATGATTTATGATATCAGATTTTTGATTGGTCAATAACTAATATTTATTTGAAATGTGAATTTATTGACAATAATTTTGTGTTTCTGTCTGCCTAATGGAATCAGAATTTATACATTTAAATTTGATCTCTATTTCCAAGCAAGCTTATCTGATCTGGAAAGTATGAAGAGTTTAAGTTTTAGTTATTTTATTATGCTTTATTTGTTTCAATATTTTATTTTCAGATTGGGAGGAAGTTACATCACATTATTTTGGTCAATGTTTAGTCTGACACCACCTAAAGAAATAGAAATAACAGATGGACACCAGTTTACTATGATGATTGGTGAATTTATGTTTATGGCATATCATGGAATGGCTATCATTGTTTTATTGAATATGTTAATAGCTATGATGTCAAGTTCTTTTCAAGACATTGAGGTAAATCTTGAGTGCTTAGTTCAGTAATCAGATCTCTTCTGAGGATTACATTATATTGTAAATGCATCGCTTTAGTAAAACTACTTAAGCTTAAGCATAATTTCATGAAGGTACAAATTCTGTATGGCTGTATGCATTTGATCATGAACCCTATATTCACTGATAGTTTGAAATTGGTTGAATCCAACTATCATGATCAAGGAAGTTTGTAATACAAGAAAATGATAGAATTTGATCTATATTATTGTTGATTATATTATCAAGCATATTTAATCTCCTTTATCATTCAACTGTCTGTCACAGTGATTTCATCTTTATTTTGCCATATCATTTGATCTTAATATTTCCTCTGTTTATTTCATTTAGATATTTCTTCATGATATTTTCATCTAGATTTTTTTATGTTTCATCTCGCTCTTTATGTTTATGTTTCATCTAGATATTTTGAATATTTTCATCTAGATATTTCATCCTGATATTTCATCTTATATTGCATTTAGTTATTTCATAGAGATATTTGGTTCCTGTACGTTCATCTTGGTATTTTGCTTTGTGTTTCATCTAGGTATTTCTCTGCATGTTTCATTTAGGTATCTCTCTGCATGTTTCATCTAGATATTTCTCTGCATGTTTCATCGAGGTATTTCTCTGCATGTTTCATCTAGATATTTCTCTGCATGTTTCATCGAGGTATTTCTCTGCATGTTTCATCTAGGTATTTCTCTGCATGTTTCATCTAGGTATTTCTTTTGTTGCATCAAAATATTCCTTCATTTCATTTCATTTCATTTCAGAATCACTGTGATATGGAGTGGAAGTTTTCCCGATCTAAATTATGGATTGGATATTTTGATGAGGGTTCAACTCTTCCTCCACCATTTAATTTATTTATCAGTCCAAAATCTATTTATTATCTATATTGTGCTATCAAGAGATTTCTATGCCTATGTTTTTGTCAGAATAGAAATGAAACACGAAGACAACGAAAAAGTTCAGATGCCTCAAGGGTATGTGTTTTATTTTCCTATTTTGTATTTTAAAAAAGATAAGAAACTTTACTAGGTATCACAAATTTCCTTCCATCAGCTGCATTTTGCTGTGTCACACTTTCGCTTGAGTATACGAGAATAGTGTGGTTAAATTTGTGCACTAGATCAATATTTTTATCCTGATGTGTCTTGATTTTTCAATCGAAATTGTAGTAAGTGAGGTGTACATTCTTAGATTTCCTTTAACCATAGCCTGTGATAAAACATATTATGCTTGGCATCATTTGATATATTAAGTAGCTAGTATTTCAGGTTTCAACTATCAAAGTATCCAATACTGAGAGTGACTTCTGAATACAGAAATATTCTAATTTTTGTCTATATAATTTTTTAGAAAAGTTCTTTGTATTGTAAGCTATGTGTAATCTATATCAAACTAAATAAGATGGCCTTCCTTATACTGTTCACATTAATTGCATTAACAAACATGTTGGTATAAGAGTAATTGTTTATTTATTTAGGTTATAATTAAACTTTGATCACGGTTACCAGTAATTATTGTTAGTAACATTGTAATTTCTCATTTACTTCTTAAAACCAAGCATTTCAATTTTATATTTTTTAATGGATTGTTTTTTGAAAATTACAGAGTCTCTATTGATGGATTTTGATCAAATTAAATTCACCTAACAAATGTCTGGTTTGGAATATCTCAAGGAATTGTTCATATTCTATGCCTTTGAACTTCACTTGCTTTGGATTTATTTTTATTTGTTGTCCTCCTTTTTCTTTTAAAGATCTCAAACATCATTTTCGTTATTGTTATTTCAGTCTAGGAGAACTGTAGAACCAAAAGATAATTATATTTTTAAGGTAGGTTACTTTAAGTAATTTCTATATTAATTTTTATAGAATACATTAGTGCTTTAAGTTATTTAAAATGTTTTCAATGCATGTTAGAAATTCTGATAAATGACTTCAAAAGGAACATATATTATCCATGAGTTGTTGCTTAGAAAGCCTTGCATGATATATCATTAACATTTATACTTTTAGTGAAGTAGGCTTCAAAGACATTAGTTCTGCTTCAACCTAAAATTTAAATCTTGAAGCCATATTAAGTTGATCAAAGCTTTGTGAGAATAGTGTTTGATATTATTATAGATTTGACTCCATTGTCTGGTCTAATATATCCAACTGTGATTTTCATCTTAAGAATGTATTAACATCAAGAAAAGTCTACTCATGGAAATCGTTTATAATTTCATAATGAAAGTCTTGAGAACATTGATTTAATTATAAATGAGGATCTCAAGTCATTTATGGATATCTACCCCATAAGTCTAATCTGGCTGTATCTAATAGATACACATGAAATGAGTTACAGAGACCTACCAGTTATTGTAAATATGGTGTTAAATGATAATTCTGAAGACGAGTTACATGTGTTGTCATCAGATGAAATGGTGAAAGAATAAAAGCTAACAAGATATATACTAACTAGGGATAAAAGGGGTATTAAGAAATGAATAAAAGCTAACAAGATATATACTAACTAGGGATAATAGGGGTATTAAGGAATGAATAAAACCTAACAAGATATATACTAACTAGTGATAATAGGGGTATTAAGGAAAGAATAAAACCTAACAAGATATATACTAACTAGGGATAATAGGAGTATTAAGGAAAGAATAAAACATAACAAGATATATACTAACTTGGGAAAATAGGGGTATTAAGGAATGAATAAAACCTAACAAGATATATACTAACTATGGATAATAGGGGTATTAAGGAAAAAATAAAACATAACAAGATATATACTAACTAGGGATAATAAGAGTATTAAGGAAAGAATAAAACATAACAAGATATATACTAGCTAGGAATAATAGGGGTATTAAGGAAAGAATAAAACATAACAAGATATATACTAGCTAGGAATAATAGGGGTATTAAGGAAAGAATAAAACATAACAAGATATATACTAACTAGGGATAATAGGAGTATTAAGGAAAGAATAAAACATAACAAGATATATACTAACTATGGATAATAGGGGTATTAAGGAATGAATAAAACATAACAAGATATATACTAACTAGTGATAATAGGGGTATTAAGGAAAGAATAAACCTAACAAGATATATACTAACTAGTGATAATAGGGGTATTAAGGAAAGAATAAAACCTAACAAGATATATACTAACTAGGGATAATAGGAGTATTAAGGAAAGAATAAAACATAACAAGATATATACTAACTTGGGAAAATAGGGGTATTAAGGAATGAATAAAACCTAACAAGATATATACTAACTATGGATAATAGGGGTATTAAGGAAAAAATAAAACATAACAAGATATATACTAACTAGGGATAATAAGAGTATTAAGGAAAGAATAAAACATAACAAGATATATACTAGCTAGGAATAATAGGGGTATTAAGGAAAGAATAAAACATAACAAGATATATACTAACTAGGGATAATAGGAGTTTAAGGAAAGAATAA